TTGACCTTCTCGCTTTTTAACTGCATAAAAGAATATCAGTAAACATATCTGTTTAAACAATGAATTACTGTAAACGCTAACCGTATTAGTTCATGTCGTTTTGTGTTAAGTTTACTTACGTGTTGTGATGCTCAAAATTGAAAAGCCAAACCTAAACACAGGACTGATTGGTATCCTTCCCTCCTTGTTTCACACGTGAAAAGAAGAGATAAGATTATACAGAAATTCATTGATCCAATATATGACAAATGAAAAACAAATAGTGGTTGATATTAAACAAAAATTTTAGCAAATAACGGTCACGAGGCAGAAATGGAGTACTGAAAAGATATTCTTTAGTAACTGCACTTTGAATTTCTATTAATAAGAGATTTGTTGGAATACTGCGTGGTTAGTGCTGAGTATACAACACTGGGACAAACTTCATGACATTCAGTGATGTTATTACTTTTCATCATTTATATTATGAACTGATGTTAGGCAGACTACCACTGAAAACCAGATAGCACTATGTAGATGTTTCTTCCTAGTATGCAATTCTTTATCACTGAGCATATGAAACCACAGTGGTAGTCGAACTGTGGGTCTTTGTTTCCATGTGCAGACCTTTAAGCTTTAGAGCACTAAGCTAGGGTCTAATGTTGTACACGTTTAACCTGTTTACTGCTAAAATGTTTGTTGTGACTTGGATTTGGGATCATTCCTTAGGCTTCATTTATAGCGATCACCTTGATAACCGCTATTATGTAAATCTCAACGGTGTATAAATTCAAATGGCAATAGGAAGCGCTGAGTACAGTTTGTTATATGGGAAAGCTAATGATTCATTTAGCGATACTTAAGCGACTTACATTTAAGCTATAGAAAGAGATAGTTATATGCGTAGGCTGTAACATGTGATCATGCACACATGATCATACAGACAAGATAGCAATACAAATAATACAGCACCGGCTGTAAAATAATTAGTTAAAGGGCTTGATTAAATTAAACATAAACAAAATTAATTGTAGGAGGCTTGTTACAAATTCCATACCAAGAAGAAATACCTGTTCGGTGAATCCTGGTATTTAGTGGTTGTCTAGCTAAGATCTGTTTGTGAATAAAACTAAAAATCTATAGTCTTTTTAATTTCCTATCGGGACAACGCTATTATTAAGATATTGAGAAGTGTTAAGGATATACAAATCAAACACTGATGTTGATATTTGATTTTAATCTAATCAAGAACCGTTTCCTTTACTAAATATTATGAAGAACCAAGACTGTTTTTGCTGAACAGTCTTACACTGAAGTGAACAAATGCTCATGCTGATTAAATCTATTCTACAATGAATTGAACTGGGCTACGATTTGTCCAGTCATTTTGTTGAATGCTTGTTTTGTTTATTACCAGAGAAAATTTAGACTTTAAGTAGGAGATGAGGGAATCTGCAGATGGCCTCAAGGGAATTTGTTGTAGCTAGAGTAATGACGGTAAGTGATATTTTAATAAAGCAGAAATCACAAAATATTACATCCATAAACACCTAAAGTATAGAAAGATCGAGTACAACCTAATGATATTTAATGAGGTACATTTATTTTCATCTGCTCACATGCAATCTTCTAAAGATTACAAGAAAATAGATGACGTTTGTCACTTAGTAAATCACATAATCTAAGTCAAAAGCCTTGAAGTAAAGAGAAATACGAATTTTTTATATCAATGTTTTTGGAACACTTTAGGGATAGAAATGTAGGGCTTTTGAGTTTCTCAGAAGTCAAATTAAGATACTATCCAATCTGTGAAATGACACCAACCGGATAACAGTAGTCGCATGTAGCGAATCGACGTAATTTCAAAAACATAAACCACTGCATTTTAGCTCATTGAGTCAAACTTAAATTACGGTTTCTTAAATTCCACGGTTCATGGTTCAACTTCTTATGAATCTAAGAGTAAACACTGTGACGTTTTTTTAGAACAGGAAAATACTCTTGTTGACTATTCACTGGTATTCACTGTTTCTCTTTTAGTTCATTTTAGTTTATGATAATAATTACATGCTGAGTCACTAAGGCAATGCCAATAAACATTTATGATATTCGGTAATAATTGTTGATAAAATTTATAATGAATATCTTATTCCATTCGACACCTACAAACTGAACGATTGTAAATTTCAGTTATTTACTCTTTTAGTCATTTTGTTTACCCACTAAATTAGTAGGTTACAAGTGTTTTTTTTTAAAATTAATGTGTGATATTATTCAATCACAGTAAAAAATCAACCAGGATACTTTCAATAGTCAATACATTGGAGGTTTTATTTCAAAAATATGGGTTTCTTAAATTGATTTTGCATAATGCAACATGCATACAAAGGCGTGTTAAGTCGATTTGAAAATGAAACTTAGTTTTATAAACTATTAGATTCGAAATAACTAGAAGTGATTAAAAACTTGGACAATTTCTCTAATTGTTCATTAAGGTAGAATCTTGATTCTATTAGGGGTAAAAAAAACCAGTAGCTGTCACGTTTGCATTAAAAAACTGTTAATTTGAACCCCTATATTGAAATTCATTCGTAATACTTAGTGTTTTTTATTTTTATAAAACTTACAGATAGTTTGTGCCAAACAACTTCCATATATTTATCATTTTAAAATATTCAAGATATTTTACATTTTTACCAATTTCACCATTTCATTGTACCGCAAAAATAAGTATATTAGAACCACTGAATGAATAGAGCTCAAACACATGTCATGAGGATGACATCCAGCTCGACAAAGTTCAGTGATTATTATAGTTGTGCTTAAGAATAAATTAATAGTTTCAAGACTGATAATTTCCATACCGAATAAACTTTGAGGAAAAAGATAACATTTTGTTCAGGTAATATTGTCAAATATTCTGCAGCAGTGCTTTTGGGACTTAAACTTACTGGGATAATTGACTGCTTTAGCGAGTTAGCTAATCTGAAGTTTGGAATGGTTTAGGAAACTCTGTTCTCTCTAACTTCTAAACAATAGTCTTTTATTTTTCCAGTGACTTAATTCATCAGTCATCTAGATCCAATCTTTAATTATTTTATTTTATCATATAAGCATCTGGCAGTTTAAAAGTTTGATGATTATGAAATCAAGCTAACGAAGAAAGTTGATTAATGATGATTGGAAACATGAAACACATGTATTCATTCTGTATCCTAGGCTTCAGATGGTAAAATCATTAGAAATCCAAAAATGACAGACTTAACTCCAAGTGTCCCTTTAAAGTAACAAAGATGTACCATGGTAACCAGTGTTCTCCAACATCTATCTCGGGGTGATTAAAACAGAAAAACCTGCTTGATCATAGTGGCTGACATACGCCAAGGTAAAAACTTGTGGGAAAATGGTTTAAAATTTTAAATTAAGCTATTCATAACCTTAAATTATTGATTAACTATCGTAAGTACATACCAAATACATTCAGAAAACATATAAAGTACACTGTGTAGACCTAATATAAGTTAGTGAAGTTGATAGCTTTGACTATTGTTTGTTGAGGACGTCTACGAAATTATCGTGACCAATCTTCATTTACCTGTTGATTCCGAATTTCAAAATTATTTTATACATTTTATCCTTCAATTTATATTTAATCCTGGGATCAAATTTTCTATTTATTCTATTTTTACCGTCACCAATATTATTTGTACTGTTACTACGGTATTTATCTTAATAATTTCAATTCGACGCACTGAAGTAGTAATGTCAAATTCAGTCGTGATATGTAGCTGTTTGGTTGTATATTATCTACCACCAACTGACAGAAGACATAGCGACAGAAAATCAAGTCATACCAGTTTTATTTGATCATATTTATATCTTTAGCTCTAATGAAATAAAAAATATCAAAACATTGGGCTTGATCCAACATTGAAGTGATATAAATCACTTCTGAAGAAATTTAATAGATACAAGTATAAGATAATCTCTGAACGTTATTTAAATTTGACGTTTATCAGGTTTAAAGTAAATTCATCATAATTAAACAAATATGATTGATTTTGTATTGTTTGTTTGAATCTTCCCATTGTAGTACCAAATATTGATGGGAAGATTCAAGCAAACAACTTCACGTGATTGCACAAGCCAGTGATTATCAGTACTCAGTAGCTAAGTGGATAACACAATGGAGTTTGAAGCAAATAAAACTAGGTTCGTGTCTCGGAGTAAACATCAAATCTAGGATGTAGACACATCCAGCTGACGAAACCTAAATGGGACGAAACGCATGTCTTGGATTCAGCTGACAGCTACCATTCATATTTGCTTAACAAATATGATTACAAAAATATAAAAAAACCAAGTTACAGTGGAACTATGCAATGGGTTCATCTGAAAGGAACTTTGTTGAAATATTTAAAAATATTACGGATAATAATTTCTCAATGAAATTGTAATGCGTGCGAGACTGATAGGTTCTAGGTTCGAATCTCGCGAGGCGGGATCGTGGATGTGTACTGCTGAAAAGTTCCATACTACGATAAAACGGCCATTTAGTGCTCTAAGGTTTTCCATGGTGGTTTAGCTTCAATCAACTCATGAATTCAATTATGAAATTGTAAGATTTTATTTACTTAATAACATGGTGAATAACCAGTCATTTGTAATATATGCACGTTCACCTACACAAGTAACGTGATGGTTAATTAAAAATATCTAATGATTTATCATTTTTACTTGGAAGGAAAACAAATTACTCTTATTGGTTTTTCAATTGTATATTTGAAATAGAAACTATTTTTAGTAACACTGTTCTAAAGTTAGTTAATCAATAAAAAAATCAATAAACTACTAATGAATTCTGTATATAATTAGAATAATGTTACTAACGGAAATGTAAAGTTTTTGAAACGATATTACATTCCTATAGGTGATTTACATCTTCAAATAGACTTTTAAGTCCCAAGTTTCAAGAGTTAATCATTGAAAGTTGAACAACATTTACAAAAGTTATCATACAAATGGAAGCTTTCCATGTTGATTATAATCGAAAACTTAATAGGTAAGTAAAATATTTCTATCAATGTCTAAAATAAATCACAAAATATTACAAATAAAAATTTCATTGGTTGAGATCAGGAGTCGATTGAAACTAGATCACCATGGAAAACCTAGAAGCACTGGATCGTGGATGAGCACTGATAAAGAGTCTCACAATAGGACGAAACGATCGTTCAGTGTTTTCAGGTTTTCCATGGTGGTTTAGCTTAAATTGATTTATGATGTCAACTAGTGAAACCTTTTTGATATGAATTAACGTGAATGAGTAAATATCATTAACATAAATATCATTAAAATGTATTCGAATTCCATGAACAGTGGTCACGCTGAATGTATCACCGTAACATTGTTTCAACCTTATTGTATTAATTTAATTCTTCCAATTTCCCAATTTACTCCTGCTATTCCTCGTGAAGGAACATAGGCCGCTCACCAGCATTCACTATCCAATCCTGTCCTGGGAAATCCTTTCCACTTCCTATTGATCCTTTTCATATCTGCTTCTATTTCCGGACATAATGTGTTCTTAGGCCTTCCTCTTTTACGCTTCTCTTCAGAATTCCAAGTTAGGGCTTGCCTCGTGATGCAGTTTGACGATTTGCGTAATATATGTCCTATCCATTTCCACCGTCTTTTCCTGATTTCTTCTTCAGCTGGAAAATTTAATTCTTAAAAGGTGTTATTTAAGATTTCATATTCTTAGCAGAAATAGTTGAATGTTAACATCTCTATCTTTCATGTTAACTGATTCAGGCTAATACATTAGTTTATTTTAAATTCATAGGTATTTTAATTACTTATATACAAATACAGCTATATAACAGTAATGGAACACTTTTCATAGTTTAACTAAACATTATAACATCTAGTTAAGTTGAGTGTTAACTGCATGTAAGAAGACTTTTGCATTAAATCATAAGTGATTCTCATTTTTAAAAAATAAAAAAAGTAATTGAAATCATATACTACGATTATGTAGTAAATCAGTATTATTCACAATAAACCGTAAGTGACAAGTTGATCAAGAATTTCTTTTAACATTTTATCTTAATGATTCTTAGTTGTTGAATAAATAAATGAAAATAGGTATCACCACCAATTTATTTTAAACAATGAAACTTATAAAATGAGAGGAAACATTTTGTCATCGAAGTTTTATCAGAAGGTCAAGGTTCTTAGACTACTTATTACTTAGTTTCTGAACTTTCACTATACGTTTAGACAATCACCTAGAGTGGAATGATAAAATAAGATATGGGTTTAATTGTTTATCCTACTATTCAATTACTCAACTGTATACTTATTCAAGATTATCAATAAAGTGTAAAAATAAAACTTATAGTTTCCGAGAAAATGTCATAACTTGTGACCTGTGTGCCCTGTTAATGGATAACGTAACGATACCGCCAATCAGAGAGCAATGAATTATCGATCGGACCAATGACTCAATAAACTCGGACGAGCACTCTAGAGTCCTTATTGGTCCTGCTTCCTGTCTAGCCCAGCCAGTTGAGTTCAGAACACCAATCTCAGCCTCTGCGATATGAATCATTTATTTCAAGCATACTGGGTTTATATACCAATCAAACAGACCACAACGTACCAATAAAATATGAAATAACATTTGTACAAAAATTAGCCAAATGTGGCTGTGAATGAGGGAGGTACTAATTGATAGACTAGGCATAATTCAAGAATGGTCAATGGTATAATAATAGTTCATAGGTCAAAATAAAGCTCATAATAAGAGGGGCATGAATATGAACGGTTTAGTTATTCAACAATTATACGATAAAAATATACGCATATTATTGGTCCATAAATGGATCCCAAAAGTTACCATTCATTATAATTATCGGAACCTAACAGAAAAATTACTATGTTTCAATAGATAGACATTTAAGTGAAAACCACCCTATAAAATATTGTCATGATGATACTTTCTTTTAATCCTTGTTAAAACAAATTAAATTCATGATACCTCTTAATTATAGTCAGTTGGTTTTATTTAACATTCACTTAAACTGAGATTCTCTCTAACAGTTGACTACTTTACAAATTGTAGTAGCAAAATTCACTACAGTAAAACAATACATTTAAGTTTAAAACAGAAAATATCCAGCTTATCATAAGAATGATAATTGCATGATATTATATCTCTATTCAAATAGGTACACCTGTATTGTTTGCTACCTATATTGACATGACTAGTATATAAAGTGAGTCAGGAATCTAATGTCTATCAGAAGAAGATTGAGAAAATCAAGAAGGAAGGAACAGGAATAGAAAGTAATTGGTATGTTAATGCAGGAACATAGAAGTTTGAGACAATTAATGAACATTTTGCAAATTTAGTATCACAGTCTAGTTTTTTTTCTTTTATTTTATCAAGTACCTCTGTAAATTTGTGCTATACGTCATTCGGTTGTCCTCATCTGTGTTCTAATTCACTACACATTTTCTTATGAACCTAGATCATTTTAGTAACTAATATGAACAGAAATCTACTACTAATTAAAAATCATTAAGACTAATCTCGAAATTTTTATTTCATTTCTCTTTATTATTATTATTATTATAGTGATCAATTTTGGTGGTTTATATTCACTCAAGTTGACATAAATCATAATGGGAAAATTGATAAAAATGAATTTAAAGAATATATGAATAAATATATTGGAGTAATTAGTCGTAAAGATATAGAAAAAGCATTTAAATATTGTGATCGTGATAATAATGGAACGATTGAATATGAAGAATTTAAAAAATATATGCTTTGTGAATAATTAATTTTGTTTATTTAAAACATTTAGATAAATATTCAGATAAATTATAACTTTTATTTGTTTCTTTTCTTCTTTTTCTTTTTCTTTAAATTTTAATTCATTTACCTTTTGTACATTGTTCAAGATTAGTCTTTTTGTTTTAATTATAATGATTATATGTATGATCTATTTATTTATTTATTTTGGCGGTTTTTTTAGTTCTTTATATAAATAAAGCTATCATTTATATTTATTTTGAATAAATTACAATAAGCAGAGATTATTATTGTTATGGGGATTAGATGGTGGTTGGAGGTAATCGACAGGAAACCATGGACCCAGGTTTCGGACTACTTGGCATTCGTCAGCAAGGTGTATCTGTAATCTTGAGGGAACTGGTTCTCCCTGACGGATTCGATCCCATGTTACTCAGCTTCACAGTCAGAGATGTTACCAGTGAGCTATCCAGGTCGCGATCGAACTCCTGTAGGACTGAGATGTAATCACAATTGATTGATCACTAGGTGGTGATCAGTGTTATGTGTATCAAGTCCTTATTTAATGCAGATCGAATGCTATCGACCATGTTGCAATGTGGCCACCAGTCTAGGTGACTCGACACTGCGTGCACTATATATTGAGATTAGATGGTGGTTGAAGGACTACCTCCACACATGACAATGATCACCACCCAGTGATCAATCAATTGTGATTATTATTATGGGATTGTAGAGGTTATTAAGTTTCTGATTGAGACCATGAACTGATGGATGTTAGATCACTATTGAAAACCTGGTTGCGCAATTTTGTGGTTTGGTTGAGGTTAGACATTAACATCGTTGAATATCAGCTCATTGGTCTAAAGGTTAAGCTTTCGCATGCAAAACCGAGAGCCCTAGGTTCAAATCTCGTGGTCGGGATAATGGGTGCACACTGTTGAGGAGTCCCATAATAGGGCGAAAGGAATGTCAAGTGCTTCCAGGTTTTCAATAGTGGTCTAAAGTCAATCGTTTCATGATCTCAATCAAAAATTAGCAGACAGTAATTCAAGAATGTTAATGTTTTTCTTCCAAAATAATCAATATGTAAACGAATTTTGAAATTAGGTAATTAAATGCGTTCATTAGCATGAAATCAGATAATATTGTTTGTATGATAATAAACATTTAATGTTTTTCTAAAAAAAATTCTTGGTGGAGTTCTATTTCTTGAACTGTGCGCTTTAATCGTAAAGTTTTGATTATCTTTCTAGAAAACGTCACTAACACTAACTTCAGGTAAGAGTAATCAATTCGAATTACGCTATATGTAACTGTCAGCTTGTTCTGTTGATTATGATCTCGATTGATTATCTTCGACTTAAGTTCTATCATTGTCTCCATATATATAATTGTAGTAGTCCATAGGTGATTAAGGTCGTTTCGTATAAAATTTAAAAGAAGTATATTCTCTAAGTTGGAGCTAGGTCTCTTACCAGATAACGTAAATGTACTAACTCTGGAATTATATAGTAAAGATTTATTCACATTTTCGCTAGTTAACGTCTGCAAAGTATCTTCATATCTCAGAATAATACCTCCAATAATTTTGAATTTCAAAATTTATTTTGACTTAAGCCAACAGCGTGATAAAATCTGCTATGATTTCTGATTGTTACTTTATATTTCATAGTGCATTATACATTCTCATTAGCTATCAATAACAACATTAGGGTCTTAAACAATTTGCTAAAGTATTATAAAGAGCCTTATAAAGTATCCAAGGTTGAACAATATTTCTTTGTTCTCTATAGTATTCTTTATTTTCAAATTCTGTTAGAGTCCAATTTATCTGGCCCTACAGATAAATTCAGTTTATATCACATAGTAAGGTCTTCATATGCTCAGTTGGAGTTGAAAATTAGCTAAACTGAAACAATTATGGACTTAATATAGCTACACACACACTGACTGACCATAGAACATGGAGTAATGATATTTCCTTTGGTTGTACGACCAACCATGTTCCGATGAATGAACGATGTAGTGCACATTGTTTTCCATCACACTGTTGGAAGCAGTCTGCAGGAAGCCTGTGATCTAAGTTGTAACAGTTGATACCCATCAGCAATTCGTATCCAGAATCTCAGGGGAAGTGGCGTTCCTAATGAAATCTATACTCACGTCACCTCTATCACATTTACCAAATGGACATTTCACCTATGCTATAAATGACGTACGTTGGTAAAAGCCAATCAAGCTTCCCAAATCTTTGCTAAAATTTCGTCAGATGCAAACTCACCAGGACTGATGAGACTTTCAAGATTCGAGGCGTGATCGGCCTATCTCAATACTTCCCTCTCTGCAACCGATTTAGACACTGACGAAAATATTCCTATAGAAGCATTTCGCACTTACAACGAAAGAGACGCATTTCAAACATCCTTTTATTGTTGATCAAGGAGATTAGAAGCCTCTGAATCTTGTTAGAAACTTCACCACATAGAAATATATCATCTATATATTCAAGGCTACCAAGTAATACATTTAGTCCAAAATGCTTAATAGTTAAAGGGAGAAAGCGTTACGTTTCAAAGAATGCTTATAACAAGTCAAATAACGAACGGAAGGAATGTAAAACCTCAAAGAATATCAGTGGATCTTATCAAATCTGACTATATTTCTCTATAAGCTTTGACTCGACGATAATGTTGAAGTAGAGAACGTGTGAAAATTTGTTATGCTCCATTAGCAAATCTTTCAGTGATATATACTACCATACAACCTACCTGTCAATGTAGTAGAGTGCTGCTTCACGATTAATGAATGCCGGTATAGTTTGGGTGAAAACAGCTTAGTTCCTGCACTTTTGTTGCTAATGAACTTTGATTAGGCATTGGATGATCATTAAGATTAACGTTCTTGATATTAGATTATTCAAATTACTTTGTGCGTGATTATCGTGGAGCAACCAGAAGTCTAGACTAGTTAGATGAGATTACATGCAACACAAGACTTTAGACAATATCTCATTTATCTTTAATCTAAAACTTATCCTCTAGATGATGTTAAATTCTAATAAAAACTAATTTTCAACAAATCAGTTAATTATCATTGAAATCAATGAATTACTTTACTCTATTTCGTCATACTTTGATTATTATTTCTATATAAAGTAAATCTGTGTATCATTAGACTAATCCATTTTTGTGTTACATGAATAAACGTCACGTTTTCACATATTCCTTCTATAAGTTGACATATACAAATCTTTAAATAGAAACAACCTTTAAATGAATAATTAAATAATATAAACCAACAAAAGAGAATAAATATTCTTCCACATTTTGTATACAATAGATAGTCTATTGCGTTTTTTATCGAATAAACTTACTTCATTTGTAGGTTTATTTATGTAATACAATATACCGAAATTGTGAGAATACAAATACTGATCATTCTCTAAAATTTGTTGTGCTATGCACTTTCGATAATGACCTCAGTAAGGCTAGGTAGGTAACGAAATAGCATTAATTCTTAAAGGTTAAGGATATATATTCGATGATGTTTTAATCTTAATTGAGCTTGTCAATGTGTTAAGAACCACAGACTAATGATCATAGGTTATTATTAATATTTCCTTAGTAGCAGTAATAACATCAGTAATAGACTAAGTATGAATTGTTAAAGTATCGTGGAGAACGAGAATTTAAGTACGACAAACCAGTGAAACATTAAATAAAAGCTTTGTAAAATAAGAAAATCATTCATGAAATACAGCATTTGTATATCTTTATTTAATTGTCCTTTACTAACTTCGTTATCCTTCCTATCCTATTGTTATTTTAATTGCTCTTTGCTTTCCTTCCTCTTTTCTTTATTCTATACTTCTGCTGGTAAACATTTTACTTTCATTTCCTGTTACATACTCCTTATGTCTATCCGCATAAGTAGCGCACAGTGAATAGATTGATTCCTACTCAAATAACTAAGCTTTATCTATATCTATTATTAATTTAATTAATAAGCCTTCTTTGTACGGTGATTTTCTCATTCTAACATTGACCTTATAGTGTTTATATTTATTTTCTTACTGATAAATTTTACTTTGAATAAACTATACTTTTCCTATAAATAAATTATTTCAATAGTTGAAATCATGAGTCAATTGAAGCTAGACCGCACGCAAAACCAACAGTTCCTGAGTTCGAATCTTGCTAGGTTGGGTCATGGGTACGCACTGCTGAGGAGTCCCACAATAGAACGAAACGGTCGTCCAGTGCTTCCAAGTTTTTCATGGTCTTGATTTAGCTTCAACTGACTCATGATCTTAGCCATTGAAATTACTATAATATACACAAAACTCCTTCTGATATTAATCAACATATACTCACTAGTGACTAGCTTCAAGAGGTATATCCTAGAGTTCTAGTGAGAAGTAGTGACCAATGGAGTTCAACCAGGTCTGTTGTGAGATAGTAACTCACTGAAGACAATGGTGGATGTGTCGCTCAATTTCGTGGATTAGTTGAAGTTCAACATTAACATCGTTAGATGCGGGCCAGTTCAGTGGTCTAGTGGTTAAGCGCTTGCGCGTCAGACTGATAGGTCCTGCGTTCGAATCCCGCAGGGGGTGAGGTCGTGGATGCGCACCGCAGAGGAGTCCCACAATAGGACGAAATAGTCGTCCATTGCTTCCAGGTTTTCCATGATGGTCTAGCTTCAACTGACTCATGATCTTAAATAATTGTTTACAAAACTGATTTCCAGTATCATTATTATAAATATAGATTAGAATTGTATATTCTGTATAGACTTTCATGAAAATAACTTAACAATAACAATACTATATATAAGTTTTCTATATTAAATATATCGTTGTAATAATTCTATACAAAGTAAATATATATTAAAAGTTTATATCATTATTGTTGTTTTGTTTTAAAATAATCACTATGTATGGTATGATTGAATCCTAATGTTATTGTACATTATGAAAATAAATCTCATATATGTAGCTTTATTATACAAACTCGGTGATAT